GGGTATTGTTAACAAGGAGAAGGCTGGCATTTTTTCACACCGCATAATCAAGTGAAATACAATTGTATGGATAAATATGTGCCATTGTTGATGGGTAAGCCATTTTTGTGTGCACTTAATTTATTGCTGTTTGAGGAAAAAGACTGCATTATCACAATGGTCTGTCAGATTATTGGTGACATTTTAGAATCAAAGAATCCAAAATATGTCTTTTCTAGGTATGAACTAAGATTTGTCTGCATATTATCTCTTAAATTTTCTTAGGAAGTTCTGTTGTATTCTATCCCAAGTTGGGATCAAAAGAACTCCAGGAAAGGGGTGTAGGCATGATCTTTGTCGTAGAACAGAGCCGAGATGAAAAAGAACAGCATTGGGTTTGAGGAAGCTCAGCCAGGACCAGCTACTGTTTGGCTTTTGGTGTTATTTAGCAAAGCAGTGACCTGGGCTTTTGGAAACGTATTAAAGGGATTATCCTGGAGGCTCTCCAGGCCAGATCAGACCTTTGTGGGTTGGCGGTGGAGGTCTCCATCTTGACTGTGGGCAATTCCTGGTCAGTCATCTTGGAAGAAGCTGTTCCTGGGACTGAAAGGAAGGACTTGGCTGAGTCTCAGACTGAGGAGGAGGATGCAAAACTCTTCATTCACTCGCTCTTCTGGGCTTTGCTTAGAGTCGTCAGGACACTCCCTGGCAGGGACCATGTTTGCTTCATGAATGTGGATTGAAACTAGGCATGTGGTGTCCCCAGTGTTGGCTTGAGAGGAGCCTTTCTTCTGTGCTAGTGAGTCAAATGTTAGTGGCCTAATGTCTCCTGGGGAGCTTGCTCCACATGCAGACACTTGGGACTGCTTCCAGAGAGTCTAATTGCGTCTCAAGTGGGGGCCTTCCTGCACTTATAGCAAACACCCCCAACAGCGCTAGTTCATTGGGAGATCATCTTAAGTTGTCTCCCAGGAGGGTACTTTTGAACCTGTGTAGAAGGCTTGTTGCAGGTGATCATCGGCCATGACTAATTACTAGAAGGACCTGTTGTCAGCTTACAGAGGTGTGGCAGAGGGGAGGTAGCTGCCTCATCCCTAGGGCGAGAGCCGTAGTGACCACACTGAAGATGGCTGGCTCCTTAGGGACATTTGAGGAAGTTCCTGGGAAGGTGGCAAGGTTGAAGTCTGCAAACATCTCCCAGTGAAATGAAATCAGAAGAAATAATGTTGAAGTCAAGGATCCCAACAAAACAGCTCGGGAACACACAGCAGGTTCCCAGACAGCCCTTTCTCTCTTCCTACTGCATCCCCAAGTGTTAGGAAGCCAATAAAGACTGCCGTTCCCTGCAAGGATGACATACAGAGAGACACTGCTCTACCAGGGCTTCCTTGCCGCTCCCAGTAGCGCTGGTGGTCGTGGGGACTTTCCCTGGTTTGTGTGTTTGGTTAAGTACCACCTGCCCTCAACTCCGCCCCCCAGCCTCCAGCAGCGTAGGGACCAGAAACCTCAGCGTCACCTGTAGAGGGCGCTTGAGTCCCTGCCAAAGTCGAGTGGCCTCACTGGTTTGGCATTTTGCTTACCTTCCAAGAAATTCCTTTTTTAAGGTTACACAAGAGAGACATGCCTGTGGTGCCCTAATTGGTGTCCTGCTTTCTCCAACTTCTTCAGTGTCAGGCTCAGGGCCAGGTTCCTTCTCTTTTCTCCCTTGGCTCAGGAAATAGCCTTGGATTTTCACCTGGTACCCTCCATAGAGTGTAAATGGTAGCATCCCCCATAGGGTGTTAATGGTAGCGTCCCCCATAGGGTGTTAATGGTAGTGCCCATCATTTTCCCCCAATTTTTCAGGGTCTTAGAGTCTTGGTTACAGCCTTGAACACCTCTTTCTATGTTGTCCCAAGAAGGGTACAGGACCTTAGAGGTAGACTGGGCTGAGGTCCTGCTGGAGGAATGAATCCCAGAGTACCCTAAAGGTTTGCAAACTAAACCCTGAAAATCAACCCCAGAAGGAACAACAGTGTCAATTTCTAGGCAAGAATGAGTGAAAAGAAGTTCTTTTCTGTCAACCCAAAGAAAGGAAGGTTTGACCTTTCTGTCCTCAACAGATTGCTTGAACTAAGAACTGTTCACATGGAATAGCTGTCGTTAGTATGGGTGACCTAGAGGTTAATAAGGCCCAGGGAATGCTTTTCATTGTTCTGTATTGTTTGTTTCCCTTTTGTGAGACTCTGTGGCCAAGGGAACCGCATAGCTCCAGTATGCGGTCCAGTAGCACATTACTAATTGCAGACTTTAAAACACAGACTCTGTCGGTTTGCTTGGCCACACCAGGAGAGAAACCCACGTTGGGGGTTATACAGAGTCAAGGTTATAAACTTCATGGGACTCTCAGGCAAATGAGGAATTTTTATTAATTCTTTAAATGCAAATGCCCAGTAATGTCCCCACCTGTCACACCCCCTGCAGCGCACTGGGTAGGAACGGATTGCAGCCAGCTCAGCTGGGGGCCAAGAGGAGGAAAAACCCCAGATTCCTCACAGGGTCTCCGTGGCCCAGTGTCGAGCTATTAAAAGACCCTCCTTTGCCCCGACTTCTTTGCCAGCAGAACGGGTATCAAATACGGATGTAAAAGGGAGGAATCCCTCTTATTTGTCCCCCATGGCAGGACACGTTTTACAATGAAATCAGCAAGTACCTTGGCAGGCAGCTGGCATAGCAGGTAAATTGTTAACTCTCTGACTATTCTTTCACCGCACCAAAATTTGAGTGCAATATTAAAACAAAACCTCTTGATTTGAAACCAGTGTTTCATAGTCCTAGCTCAAATGTCCCCAAAACCTCCTTCCTAAGAACCCTTCGAAGCGTGCTTTTCCATTTGCTTGCCTTCTCTCCTTCTTTTTCCTCTTCCTCTCCCTCTCTGCCTCTCCTCCCTCTCCCCCTCCCTCTTTCTGTACAATAGGAGCAAAAGTCCAGACCTAGAATGAAAAGTCAACATGTATCAGTCACCTTCTTAGTGCTGTCAAGGGCTTCCTGGGCTGCTGGGAAGAGTGAGCCTGAATCTCTCTTCTTGTGACCGAGTCAGCACTGGACACACTGGATCACATAGCTTGTAAACAGTTCATTTTATAATGCCTGCAGTAGAGGTTTGATGGTTAAAAAAATAGAGATTGTGTTTCACTAGTAGTTCCCGACCTGTGGGCTGAGGAATCTGGACAAAGTGGGGAATTAGAGAGTTTTCCAATCTGTGGACTCAATAAAGAGCGAGTCTTGCCTGTGTAATGTGCTCTGTGGCGTCAGATGCTGTGTTGGTTTCACTCACTTTTTTTTTTAAAATCTTTACTGCCTGCCTTAGTGCCTAGTATATACTTCTATCGGGCATTCTATACAGAAACAAATAAAGAAAATAATGAATATGATTTTCTTTCTTTTATTTAAGATTTATTTATTTGTTTGAAAGGCAGAATTACAGAGAGAGAGACAGAGGGAGAAACAGTGAGAGAGAGAAAGAGAGAGAATCTTCCATCTGCTGGTTCACTCCCCAAATGGCCGCAATGGCCAGAGCCAGGACCCAGGAGTTTCTTCCAGGTCTCCCACACAGGTGCAGGGGCCCAAGGACTTGGGCCATCTTCCACTGCTTTCCCAGGCACATTAGCAGGGAGTTGGATTGGAAGTGGAACAGCTGGGACTCAAACCGGTACCCATATGGGTACTGGCATTGCAGGCTTTATCTGCTATGCCATAGTGCTGGCCCCTGAATATGACTTTCCTACTAAATGTAAGTGCAAAGTTCATCTTTAGTCGTCATTGTTTTTATAGTGGCAAAATATAAAATTCACCATTTTAATCATTTTTAACTGTGCAATTCTGCAGCATTGGTCATCATGGTTTCTACATAGATTCTAAGAACACACATACTACCCTGGGCAGGGAGGCCCTCAGAATTTTTTGGTGCTTGGGATCCTTCTACCTAGAAAGGCTGGAACCCACTCATGCTCACTTCTCTGCCAGGAGCGTGTCCCATCTAGGCGGTTTCCGGTGGCACGCATGTTACCTCTCCAGGGAGAAGTCTGTTTCATGATTAGGTAGCTAAACGTGTTAAAAAGCCCTTCCTTGGTAGAGTTAAACTATTTCCATATTGCAAATGTACAGTCCCGAGTGTTCTGCCCCTGCAGCACAAATTGGTCTAAGATGGCTAGAGGCGTGTCTTTTTACAACTTCATCCATGCGAGGGGCTCTTCCTCCTGTCCAGGGTCTACCCATTGGAAGAACTCAGGGTTTGAGTAGACAGAGCAAACCTTCCCCCATAGGCAGCAGGCCAGGCCCAGAGTGGGGCTGGGTGGGGTGGGGCACCCTCTGCAGTGCGGTGCCCACTCCTCTCTGGTCAATTCGGCGCTGATGGAGCACGTGCTGGGCTGCTCTTGACGTCTGCTCCTCTCTGCCATCGGCCCGGCACGGAAGAGGCCTGGGGTTCTTCTCCAAATTCCACATGGTGTGTCCGCCGACTTTTGAAGGCACGCTTTGCACCCGAAACAGTTGCTTCTATCATTTCGTCTCCTTCCTTTTCTCATCCTTTCTTCCCTTTCCCTTTTCATCACATTTTTTGGGGATGTTTAAAACAAAACCCAACGATTGTTCCTTTCTTGTATTTTCTTTTCCTGTCGCTCCCTTCTCACTCCACCATTCTGCTTTATGCCCCGTAGGCCACTGGCTCCTGTCTGGGATCTGTTTGCCAACAGTACTGGCCTTTCTGAATTAATTAAAAGTGAATGGCTGTGTTAAACCAGTCTCATGGCTTTACATTTTGATGACGAATTCTTATATTCAGAACACTGTGGACCAGTGCTGGGTCACACTCTAATGAATGCTAAAGGAAGATTGACCACTGAGTGCAAGACAAAATAACAAAGCAAACTCCTCGGAGCTGCCGGTCCATTCTTGGCTGCCTCCTCTGTTGCCCTGCTGGCCAGAGCCATAATTAGCTGTGAGTGGGACACCACGCTTTCCATTGCCAGCTCCCACCCCATGTCGACTCACACGGGCATTTCAAAAGGAGCCTCAAGTCCCAAATAATTTGTGATGAACACAAATGCTTCACTTCCAAATGTGGTCTTTATGAAGGTCTAACAAAGGAATTTTGGACTTACCGGTTAAGTGAAGTGTATGGCAACCAATATCTAAATTTGCTTCTTTGACTTGCTTCCAGAAGTCTCTTCTTGCACAAGATCTTCCAGTTTAACCCTTGGTAGCCATTTCTACGAGTTATCCTTTGTCAAAGCCTACTCTCATCATGGGATGGAATCAGAGGAGCTATGTTTACCTGGTTCTTTTCTCTCATCTCCGAAAACCACTTGTGCTCATTCCGAATTTGTAATTCCTTTGGGTCTGATTTTAAGAATTAACCTTAAAGGAGTAATGCAAGTCAACTAGCTGTAGCTATGGTTCCAGAGTGGTGATTAGCTAAACCAACCCAACTGAGGTCCTTAGTGTTAAAGGCAATGTAAGCTTTCCCCAGCAATAACTGACCTATCTGCTTTTTGCTTGCACAGGAAATACTCTGGTTATTTGTTACCAATGAGGAAACATCTCTGATTTTTTTTTAAGATTTATTTATTTTATCTATTTGAAAGTCAGAGTTACACAGAGAGAGGAGAGGCAGAGAGAAAGAGATGGTTCCATCCGCTGGTTCACTCCCCAACTGGCTGCAATAGCCGGAGCTGCACTGATCTGAAGCCAGGAGCCAGGAGCTTCTTCCAGGTCTCCCATGTGGGTGCAGGGGCCCAAGGACTTGAGTCATCTTCTACTGCTTTCCCAGGCCATAGCAGAGAGCTGGATGGGAAGTGGAGCAGCTGGGTCTTGAACCGGTGCCCATATGGGATGCCGGTGCTTCAGGCCAGGGCATTAACCTTCTGTGCACAGCTCCAGCCCCCATCTCTGATTGTTTTTAAATAGAAAAAAAGAACTTCTGTTGGTTATTATCCCCTGGTGATCATCTTAAAAAACCCATCTCATGATAGGGCCCAGTGAATTCTGGGACTGGAAGAAATGCCTCAGATCACATGGTCTGAATCCACGACACTGGGCACTACCATGCTGCCTCTCATCCTCTGCATAGCTGGAAGCTTCCCAGGCTTCCTTAAAATGTAAATTGAGCATGGCAGCCCTCTGCTGCAAGCCTTCTAGAACCTTCCCATCTCAGAGTACATCCAAAGTGTCCTACCGAAAGGCCGCGGGGCCCCTTTTGATCACTGCCCTCCCAGCCACCCCGTTCTCCTCCATGCCTTTCACCTCGCCCCCTTTACTGCCTTGCTGCAGCCACCCTGTCATCCATCTTGAGGTCTTTCCCTTAGCTCGGCACAGCAGCCTGCTTAGGCCTCTCCCTTGGTGTCACCACTGCCTGAATTGCTTTTTCCCAGGACGTCACGGAGCTCACTCTCTCCTCCCACCCGCCGCGTCCTCAAGTCTCTGCTCAAATGCCTCCTCCTCCGAGAAGGCTTCGCTGGCCGTCTGTATGAAACAGTAGTCCCACCCGAGCCTGCCTTCCTCCTTGTGCTTCCTGATTTGTCTTCGTAGCCCTTACCCCTACTGGGTACCATGATGTTCCTGTTGATCTATTGCTGCTCCTTGGTAGAACGTAAACCCCGTGAGGATGGGGCTCTGTCCATCAGTCGGCTGCCGTCTCCCTGGCCCCCAGAAGGGTGCTTGGCACATAGAAGTTGCTCAGTAATATTTGCTGGGTTACAACTCAGCGCAGTGAGCTGGGTCACCCCATTCTATCATGCCCAGATGAGGCAACCGATGGGGCTGGCAGAGATCTGCAGCTTCATCAGATGCATCCTTCGTCCTGTTGAGGGATGTGGGCCCCGCGGAAAGGTTTGCATTCTCAGTCTGCTGTTTCCTAGCCGCCTGACTGAGCAGGTTTCTCACCTCCTTTTATTTTTGTCTTTGTTTCGTCATCTGTGAAATGGAGATAATAATTATTAGATAATTATGTGATTATAAGATAATTATGTGGACTACGGAGCAAGTTAGCCGGTTCACATCTCCGTCTTAGGCTAAATCAGAAGGTGCCCCCTGAGCCCCATAAACTTTCTTTGCTTTCACAATTCCAGACATCTGATCAGGCAGCCAAGAGCTGGGAAGGGCCTTTGGCTGGAAAGTACGGATTTCTTAAAGCCAGTGTTCTCTCGCTCGCTCGCTTGCTCTTGTTTGAGCATGTAGATGACGTGGAATAACCCCTCTGGTTTATTGAATTAGGTTTTCCAGTGGGGTTTATGTTGCCAGGTGATCACTTCTCAATTCGATAAAAATCACTTCGTAATGGGGATTAGATGGTACAAAAATGACACTGCACTCTGCTGGATCTCTCACGTTCTTTTTTTTTTTTTTTTTAACCAAAACTCTCCAGTCTGCCAAAGGTTTACACAAAGACTTACTGTTGTTATAATGTTCTGGGACTTAATAAATTAGACATTGTTATGAGATAGCTTCAAAACATTGAGAGAACTTGGCTGGGAGGTTTAAAATTTGTTTTTAATCAAGGAGAAATATGGACATTGATAACAATTATTTTTTAAATCCCATGTAGTATTTTTTTTTCAGGTTTGAATGAAAAGCAGTGTGACCACAAGAATGTACTTTAACAAAAGTAATAAGCTAATTCAATAACACACGAATGTTGTATTGTCTGGGTAGTAAGCTCATGTCTTAGTTTATAATGGCAAAGGGAATTTGTTAAGGGAAGCTTATTTGGAATCTTTTTATCCTATCAAAAACTTAAATTAACAGTTCTTTTGTTTGTTCTATTGTTCTATGAGTAGAACCAGAAACAAGTGTACATTTACCCCTTGCTTATTACCGTGTGGTGTGCGGCTCACAGGATCCTGGGGAGAGAAGAAGAGAGGGGGAGGTGGGGAGGAGGCAGTCCATTGCTGGTGTTGAGCTGGCTGCTCAGTGGGTTATAGTAACAGAGACTTAGACGTGCCCTGGTTGGGGGTTTAATATCTAACAGAGCAGGAAGCAAATGAGCACTGAGCCAGGTGGCACCTTTTCCCTGCCATCTTTAAACAAACAAAGCAGCAGTCCAAAGCACAAAGGTGGGTCTGGCACATGAAGCCGGGCTTCCTGGTGACTTTCCTTTTGGTCTTGGCATTTGCCCTGTGTTTACAGTCAAAGCACCAGACATGAGGTCATGGAGCCGAGGGGGGGAATAGAAAATAATGACCACACCATAAAATCGCTGTTGACTCTGCGCTCCAGGCAGGATGCAGGCGAGATGGAGGAGCCAGCTGTGCTTCTTCTGCCTTGGGCTCGTCTGTGGCCCAGGCTTGTTCCATTCGAGGGCCCAGTTACCCTGCATTGCACCATCCCTACTGAGGGCATGCAACGTAATCACCCGTCCAGGGCCACCCGTCAGCACTAGTGATGGTAGCTGAGTGCTAGGAACTCCTTGGTACTGGGCATACAGAAGGTGCTCAATAAAAATTCTAAGAGACTTGACTCTTCAGCTTAGGCTCAAGTCGTAGACTCTACTCCTTTACCAGTGTAACTCGGGTCACTGTAGGCCTGTGTTGGAGGCACAGAGAGACACTCACAGCTACTTTTACTCACATGTCCCCATTTCATCTGGACGTGATAGTGGGGAAAAGAGGCAAGGCCAAGAACACACTCAAGGACATGAGGCTGAAAGGGGTCAGTGGACCCAGGTCCTGCCTCAGAGACCCAAAGTGGCAGCGTTGAGTGTGACTGTCATTTCCTCCTTTGCCTAGTTGCCCTACTCAAAGTTTTATTTGGGCCTTAATAAAGTTTTATTGGCAAGAGCTGTGAGATTTAATCAATACCAACATTTGCCAATATGGTGATCAATGAGGAAATTGCTGTGAGCTACTCTGTGCGGAGTAACTCTGAGAAGGTTGTATCCAGGAGCCTTGTGTTGTGACTTGGAGGATTAAGCCGCTGCCTGCGATGTTGGCTTCCCTTATGGACGCTGGTTCGAGTCCCGGCTTGTCCACTTCTGATCCAGCTCCCTGATAATAATATGCCTGGGAAATGCTGTGCTTGCTGAGACAGCATCAGAAGATGGTATGTGTTCTTGGGCCTCTGCCACCCATATGGGAGACCTGGACGGAGTTCCTATCTCCTGGCTTCAGCCTGGCTCACTCTCAGCCATTGCAGCCATTTGGGGAGTTAATCAGCGGATGCAAGATCTCTTTCCCGGTGCTGGGCACTGTGGTGTAGCAGGTTGAGCCGCCACCAGCCATGCCGGCATCCCATACAGGTACTGTTTGGAGTTGTGACAGCTCCCCTTCCAGTCCAGCTCTCTGTTAATGCACCTGGGAAAGCAGCAGAGGATGGCCCAAGTGCTTGGGCACCTGTACCCACATTGGAGACCTGGAAAAAGCTCCTGGCTTTGAACTGGCCCAGCATTGTAGCCTTTTGGGGAGTGAACCAGTAGATAGAAGTTCGCTCTCTCTGTCTCTCTCTCTCCCCCTTCTGTCTTTGTAACTCTGCCTTTCAAATATAAATCTTTTTTAAAAAATAACTCCCGGGGCAATAAGGGACATTAGAGTGTAAAAGGACTTTGCTGCTAGGGGGCGCCATAGATGAGGGGAACAACATGGTACACTGTGCTACAGAGACTTGGGCCACTGTTGGGCAAGAGTCACTGGGTCTGGTTTTCACACTCTGAAGTAGATCACATGATGAAATAGTCTGAGAGCTGTTTCTGACGGTGCCCAATACATAAATGTATTGTGAGAACAAGGTGGCTCTGGGTGGCTCCATCATCAGGAGTGTGGCAGAGTTATAGTCAGAGGTAGAGATCACAAAAGGATTCTATGGCAAAGGACGCGGCTAGAACCCGGAGTCAGGGAAGCCCCAGGATTCCATGCGAAGAGGCTTCTCAGCCAGCTACTTTGGCACAAAAGATACTGCTGAGTTCAGGGAAACCAATTCTTACTAAATGGTAGTGACGCAAATGAGGTAGCAGTTTCCACTTTTGCCACATCCAATCCTTTGTTGGCAGCGTTAAAGCAAAGATCTATTTTCACCTTGTCTCTTGTGATTTGAGTACCAATGCCGTTACTTCCTAATTTCCAGTTTCGGGATTTTGCCCATTTCCTGCTAGGACCAGCCAGCTAAAGAATATTTGGCTAGTGGACAACAGGGAAATACCACACGTAACAACTGAAGACGGATGTGTTATGGAAAACCATTCTGGCCCTGTAGAATCAACAAGGAACATCCTAGCACGGATCCAATAATGTTTTCTCAATTTTAGCTATAGCTCATTTCAAGTAATCCTTGTGTTCTAGAAACAACACCTGTTCATCTTTCTGTGCATCTGTTAGAAACCCAGGCGTGAGAATGTAGGAAAAAATGTTCCAAACCAAATTACTATGCCATGCTAGCAATACTGTTTCATTATGTGAGACATTTGTCTGTATAGTTTCCTTGTAGGCTTCTTGAAAAATGGTGCAGAATGAGCCACATAGTCGACATACTGACCGCCTTTCAGGGTCATTGCTTGCTCACAACCTCTCTCTGTCTCCACCCCCCGCTGGGAGTCACTAGAAGGGCCAAGTGAGGCTTTAGCTAGGAGCAGCATTTACATGGGGTGGAAAATCCCTCAGATGCCTCATCTGAGATGAGGGGGACTAGAGGAGAAAGAACAGAGGCTATGCCAGCGTGTCAAGGGCAGTTACTGGGTTGTGAACTCTGTGACTGTTTAGTAGGGGGTGAGCAGTCTAGCACAGGGGCAGAGATGGGGCTGGGGCAGGAGAGTAGCAGGAATGGGCAGGATAAGTCTGAGCAGCCTTCTGGAATTGTGACCCAGTCTGTGGTTCTGTATCTCCCTCTGTAGCCCACTGCTGGAGGTGTTGCCCACATGGAAACAAAAGAAGTGAGACTACTTTCTCCCAGATGAATGAGTGCTGAGATGGGAAGTTGAATTGGAGGGTCAAGATCCAGGTTTTGGTTGGGAAGTTATCATAAATCAACTAAGATCAGCCAAACCAGGAGAAAGCAGGCGAGAAAGAAGTCATCTACAAGCTTTAGGAATTTAGTCTCAGATAACCCAAGGCTGTCTTGACAGGTTAAGACCTGGGCACCATGTCTGAGCCACAGAACCAGCTAACTGGCCTTTTGGCCATTTGTCTCTCATCTTTCATATCCATCTTACACTGCAATTAGATATTGCTTCCTAAAGCAAGTATCTGTCGCTCCCTACTCAGATTTAATTGACCTCCTATTGCTTAAAGGGCCGCGTTCCAAGTTCTTAGCCAGGCGTTCAACAGCTTCAACAGTCTGGTGTTAGACAACCTTTCTGACCTTGTAATCAACTACTCACTTTCCTAATCCCGCCATTCTGGACAGAGGGATCTTTGTGATCATCCAAACAGAATTCGATTTCCTGCTGGGAACCCATAAGGAGAGGGTAGGGTCTTCCCTCTCACCTGACCTATTATGCTTTCATAGAAAATCTAGACTGGCAGATCAGGTTGCCAGTTGCCAGTCATTTCTTGGTTCACATCTGAATTAATTTCTCAGCAACATTTGACAGCGTCCTTCTTGAAATATTGTGCTGTCTTATTTCTCTCATGTTCTCTTAATTATTCTCTAACTAGTGCTCTTAATTATTCTCTAACCCTTAATTATTCTCTAACTGCTGCTCTTTCTAAATCCTTGCTAGTTTTTTCTCTTTCGGTTGACTGGAAAATGCTGAAGTATCTTAGGTATTTGTCTAAGGCCCAGTCCTTTTTTTTTCTACCTGCATTCTTATCCCGGGTGATCTCATCTAGATAAACCGCATTACTAACCTCCATTTGCTCCTGTCTCCCACTTTCTGCAGGGGGTCATCACAGGCAGAGTATACTTCTCCTGCCCCTGACTTGGGACTTGCATGTGTGATCTGCTTTGAGTAATGATAGATTGGCAGAAGTCAAGCTGTATCAGGAGCTGAGGAGCATGCTTCCTCTTGCCCTCCTGTGCCTCTGTCATTGGCATTGCCTGGCTGGCAAGTTGGTCCCAGGAGAACAGGAGACAGAGAGAATAGAGCTTCCCACCTGCCCCGTAGACCTCAGACAGGAGCGGAGTTGCCTAGCTGGAACCCTAGCCAATCTGCAAATGTGAGCAAAAGTAGATCGTTTTTGTCTCATGCCACTGAATGTTCGGAGTGATCATCTGTTTAGTTATGGCTCCCAAATAGAGACCCCTAGCCTTCGGCCTTGGTTCTTTCCTGCTCCAGAGCTGTCTGTGCAGCCAGCCGTGTGGCATTCCCACTCAGTGTCTAGCAGGCATCTCAAACAAGAGCAAGCCAGGAGTGGACTCCTCCCTAGACCCGCTCTCTCCCATCTAAGTAGATTATACCATCATCCTGCCAGTTGTTCAAACTAAAAAACTAGGAGAACGCTTGGTTCTCCTGTTCCTCCACATTCACCCATCTGTGGAACATCACATATATGCAGTCATTTTTCTCTGTCTTCACTGACATACTGTCTCTTGTCTGGAAAACTTTGGTAAACTTTTAATTGATCTGTTTGCTTTCACTTTTGAACTTTCTTCAACTCATTCTCCATATATTTTGAACTTTATTCAACTCCATATATCATCTATGAGACTCTTTTTAAAGAGTAAATTAGGAGTCGCTGGCACCGCAGCTCACTAGGCTAATCCTACGCCTTGCGGCACCGGCACGCCGGGTTCTAGTCCCAGTCGGGGCGCCGGATTCTGTCCCGGTTGCCCCTCTTCCAGGCCAGCTCTCTGCTGTGGCCAGGGAGTGCAGTGGAGGATGGCCCAAGTGCTTGGGCCCTGCACCCCATGGGAGACCAGGATAAGTACCTGGCTCCTGCCATCGGATCAGTGCGCGGCAGCGGCGGCCATTGGAGGGTGAACCAATGGCAAAGGAAGACCTTTCTCTCTGTCTGTCTCTCTCACTGTCCACTCTGCCTGTCAAAAAAAAAAAAAAAGAGTAAATTAGGAGTGTGAATTTAATCTCACACCAGAGTACCTGGGTTTGATTCCTGGATCTGGCCCCTGACTCTGACTTCCCACCAATGTAGAGCCTGAGGGGCGGCAGATGGGAGCTCAGGCATTCAGGTTCCTGCTGCCTATGCAGGATACTTGGACTGCATTCCCAGCACCTGGCTTCAGACCTGGCTCATCCCCAGCTATTGTGGGTATTTGGGGAGTGAACCAATGAATGTGAGCATTCTCTTTCTCTCTCTGTCTCATAAATAAATAAACAGAAAGTAAATTTGATCATGCCGCTTTTCTCCTATTGCTACTTGGTCATGGTCTGGAATAAAAATCCTAATGCAAAAAAAAAAAAAAAAAAAAGATCCGAAAAAGATCCTAATGCCTACAAAGTTTTCATATTCTGACTTCTATTGGCTTCACTGATCTTCTTTTTCTAATTTTTTCACTTTTAAATAATTTAAAAGACAGGGAGACAGACACAGAGATCTTCCATCTCCTGGTTTATGTCTCACATGCCTGTTAACAGCTAGGGCTGGGACAGGCTGAAGCCAGAAGTCAAGAAACTCAGTCTGAGTGGGGGCAAGGACTCAAGTACTTGAGCCATCACCTGCTGCCTCCCAGGGTGTTGTCTGGAGGACGCTAGAGCCTGCGGCAGAGCCGTGACCAGAGCCAAGCGCTTTAATAAGGGATGTGGGCATCTCGAATGCTAAGGCAAGTGGCTGCTCCCGTTTTGTTTTGTCTTGAAGACCAAAGATCTCTCACCATTTCTCAGTCTTAGCGAGGGGAAGACTGGAGATGATGATGCTTCTGGCAATGATGATCGCTAGCTGGAGGGAGAGTTACCCCTCTGAGTTATGTCTCAGGCCTCAAACCCTGAGCTGATCCTGCAACTAGTCTAGAGGACATGAAGGAAGCGATTCAGGGGAGGGAGAGCCAGAGTAATGGCCTGCCTCTGCAGATGGAGAGAGCTGGTATCAGGAAGTCACTCACTTTGACAACCAAGAGCGCAGACCCTGGGGGGTAGGCCTAGGCTTGGACTTCCGCTTTGTCACTTACTCTCTGCCGCACAACGGCCTCTGACTTACCTGAGCATCCTTTCCCCGACGTGTAGAGTGGGGAAATAGCACCCGCCTCAGAGGTGAGCATCCAAGTGTTGTGCAGGTGACGTCGGAGCAGTGGGTCTCAGGGACAGCAGTGTCGGAATTCCAGGGCAGTGCGGGCGTGGGAGTTCCCATAGTTGGTACAGCTGCAAGGTGGCATTCTATCCCTTTTGCCTAGTGAAATCCAAACCCGGAAAAGAAGTGGAGCCACTTCAGATCGCCTTCTCTGTAGCGCCTCCACCAGCTCTCACTCAGATCTCCCTTTGCGTTTATTTCCTGTTCATTAATAGCACTTCTCCTCGTGCCATATATTGTTGCTTGTTTGTCTCCTCAATCAGACCTCTGCTGGCCAGTGTTTGAACTGAATCAGACGGTGCTCCTCTTCCATCCGTCTAGTCTTCTTTTCAAGTGATTGGAAGAAGGACACATGCACTCTCCATAAGGGAGCTAAATGTGGAGTCTGTGCTACAGCGAGCACATGGTTTCTCTTAGGAGAGCGTGAGAATGATCCCTGTCATGCTGTCAAGGTCAATGTTCTCATCTCCTGGTAACAGTAGCCTCACTCTGCACCAGCTGAAGCGGCTCAGGATCACTTCTTCATGATGGGGATATTTTTATTTTTGCCTGAAGAGCAACTTCTTTTCTTTTTTATTGCCCTTCCTTCCTTTATTAAGGGGGGAAAAACAGACAAAGAAGAGTTAGGAAGTTAGCCAGAAATGAATCTTCTTAGATTGAATCACAGGTGAGCAGATTTGCAGGGGAGATTCAAACAGGGTGATTTGGAGGATACATTTGGGTCCAGAAAAAGGCAGAAGAGAGGAGTGAAACTTCTCTTTATGACAAGCCCTAAATAGTCATGGATGTGGCTTTTCAAAGTTTATGGATTAAATATTCTGCAAAAATCTCACAAATGACTGACTCAGTGTCTTGGAATAGCTATGGGTAATGCTGGGAGACTTCAAGCCCCTGAGATCTGTCATTGCCCAAAGCCTAGGGCTAACTCAGGTTGACCTTCCTCTAGAATGAGCTTGCAGTGCACGGCAAGTGAGATAGGGAGAGAATTTATAGAGTTAATTACTAGGCTGTGTTCTATTAGATGTACAAAGCACACATGGATGGCGCTTGGAGCTTTGACGCGAGTGGAGGGACTTGAATTCTTTTGCAGCTGGAATGTGCTGGAACTTCCCAATGGCTTGAAAGAATGCCTAGAATTTCTTTTTCTATTATGGTCACTGCTATTTCTCACAGAGGCAAGTGAATCTTCCCGAGCTGTCACGATGGGAACGGCTGAGCCCCGCAGCAGGCTTGTTGGGAGCGAAGCTGGCCAGGGCTCTGTGGTTTGGGCAGGTGGGGAAGGCCTGACTTTCTCACACATGGGTGTCAGACAGGGCTGTTGGGAATCTTTAAAGGCAACAGGAAAATGAATGCAGAGCACAGAGCAAGACCTTGTCAGCTTCATACGGGGCGGTGGGAGGAAGAATTCTGCTGCCTCCCTCCAGGCACGTAGTCCAACTCTCAAACTCTTTTTTTTTGTGTGTGTGTGGCCATGATCTAAGTCGCTGCAGCCTTCCACTCAGGAGAAGGCGGGCAGCCACTGCTCTCAAATCACCTGAGAGGAGGCAGTGTCCAGCACAGTCAGATGATGGGATCCATGGTACTGAAGCTCCCCTTTACTGGTGGGAAAGAATACTCCTCTGGAGTCATTTATGGCCCTGGGTGCTCGCTACACCTGCTCTCCAATGTGAGAAGGAGCAGGCATTCTGAGAGCTATCGTCCAAAGACCGCTTCCTCCACACTAGTGTGTAAGCTTCGTGGCAGCAGGAATTTTGTGTTGGTCCCTACTAGATCCATAAAACCTAAAACTGCACCTGCCACAGAGGAGGCCACAAGTAATAGGTGTTAAGTAGAAGGATGGAAGAGCTACCATCTGCCAGTGATGAGAAGGGTGTCCAGAGCTTCAGTGTTCATAGCTGGAATCAGATCTCATGTTTGAAAACTCTAGCAGCTTCCTTTATCCCTCTTACGTGTTCCTCAACTGTAAAATGAGATAGTAACACTGACTTCCAAATGCTGTTCTGAGAATGGAGACGAATGGAACGGTGCTTGGCAATCTAAAAATGGCCGGCCTATACCTACCCTGCCCTGAATCCTGTCGCTTTAGCAAGTAGCTTACGTAGGGAACTACTTAGTCAATGGGAGAAGAAGAAAGGGCAGGTATCTGTTTTCCACCCATAAAAATAATCATAAACCATTCTTTCTGTTGTAGGGTGTTTATTGTTTTGTTCTAACACATGTGTTATTTTATGTTTACAAAAGGGAAACACAGAGGTGGGCGTCTGGCCTGGTGGGTAAGTAGCTGTTTAAGACACCAGCATCCCACGCCAGCACGCCTGGGTTCACTTCCCCAGCTCTGGTTCCTGATTCTAGCTTCCTGCCAACCTAGACCCTGAGAGGCAGTGGAGATGGCTCAAGTAATTGGGTTCCTGAAACCCATGTGGGAAGACCTGGCTTATGTTCCTGTCTCTCTGCTTTGGTCCAGGGCCAGCCCTGGCTGTTGTGGGCATGTGGAGAAAGAACCAGTGAATGGAAACTCTTTGTGTTTCTCTTTTGCCCAAGGGGGAAAAATGGAGAAGGAGATGGAGAAGAAAGAAAACAAATTTCATAAAGATATTGGAGTCCTGAAAAATGAACTATGGCCAGTACAAGGCTTTAATGACAACTCTCTCCAAAATAGCCTGAGTCTAGCCAGAGCAGGATAATATCAAGGACAGTGAAAACATGGCATGGGTGGAGACAGTCTTTCCTACACTTCCTCTTCTTTCTTGAGTCATTTGGTGAAATCTGCAAAATTTGGGGCACTGCAAATTAAGTGCACTTGTAAATACTGTTTTTAAAAAATGTATTCAGTATATTTTTGGTTCAAACAATTTAGTGCAATATTTATCAGAGGCAGAGAACACGTTGATAAAAATATCCAGTTGTGTATTCTTAGTAGTGATCAAAAGCTCGCTAGGCAGCTGAAGGTCACGGCCAGCCAAGAGTCCACGCAGAAGAGGTTGGAGAGTGTGCTTGATGTTGAGTTCTGCTTGCTGGGCTGGAAGTGGTAGACATTTCCTTGATTTTTCTCCCCACTCCGATCAAAGACAGTGTTCCCTTGCATTTCCTTTCTCAGTTACAGCAACGGGAAAGAAGTGTGGAGCCTGGACTGTCCCTTGTGCTGTCCTCTCCCAAGGTCACTGCTTGTTTACCCTTTCCCTCACCTCTTCAGCCTGGGAAGAGGTGCACTTGAGTGTATGAGCAGGACTGGCACTGCCTACAGGGAAATTAAGATGCTTCCCAGGCAGCCTGATTGATGAGGCATTGAAAGGTAAATCTGACCAAGTATCTCTTCCACTGGCCTGCCACCAGTGCCTGACATTCTGGTGATTTTAATTGCCCATTAAAATTTTCTGTAGGCGTGCATGGTTTCTTTGGGTCCATAAAACATTATGTGAGGAGGAAATTGGGAAGGGGGAAAATGGAAAAGTATATAATTAGAATGATTTATTTTGTCTTATCAATATATCAATCTTTTGGTCAAGAGTAGTATCTTGGGATTGGCCAAGCAGTTAAGATGCTGGTTAACAGGGCCAGTGCTGTGGCATAGCAGGAAAAGCCGCTGCCTGCAGTGCTGGCATCCCGTGTAGATGCCAGTTTGAGTCCTGGCTGCTTCACTTCTGATCCAGCTCCCTGCTAATGGCCTGGGAAAGCAGTAGAAGATGGCTCTAGTGCCTGGGCCCCTGCACCCACGTGGGAGACCCAGAAGAAGCTCCTGGCTCCTGGCTTCAGATCGGCCCAGCTCCAGCTGTTGCAATCATTTGAGAAGTGAACCAGCGGATGGAAGACCTCTCTCTCTCTCTCTCTGCCTCTCTATAACTCTGCCTTTCAAATAAATAAATATATTTTTTAAGATGCTGGTTAAGATACTTGAATCCCATAGTGGAGTACCTGGGACCTATTCCTGACTCCCACTTCCTGCTAATGCAGACTCTGGGAGATGATGATAACAGATCAAGTATTCAGGTTCCTGCCACCCTTTTCGGGGACTTGGATTGCATTTCTGGCTCCCAGCTTTGGCCCCAGCCTAGCTCTGGCCATGTGGGTGGTTGGGGCATGAGTCAGAGGATGGGAACTCTCTCTGTTTTTGTCTCACTGTCTCTGTTACTCTCTTTCTCTGTCTCTACCCCCTCTCTCTGCCTCTCAAATAAATACATTTTGTTTAAAAAAGATTTATTTATTTATTTGAAAGGCACAGTTACAGAGTAAGGGGAGGGGGTCTTCCATCTGCTGGTTCACTCCCTAAATGCCCACAACAGCTGGAGCTGAGTGGATCCAAAGCCATGAGCCAGAAGTCTCTTCCGGGTCTCCCCTGTGAGTGAGGGGACCCAAGGACTTGGGTATCTTCCATCGCTTTCCCAGCTGCATTAGCAGGGAGTGGGATAGAAGTGGAGCAGCTGGGACTCAAGCTGGCACCCGTATGAGATGCTGGTGCTGCAGGTGGCAGCTTAACCTGCTACACCACGAGATCTGCTCCTACATTTATTTTATTAAGTAGTATCTTGGACAAGTATAGTGTTCAAGGTCAGAGGGAAAGTTGGGAATTTTGAATCTTGTCCTGCATCTTCGTGTTGAGTCTGAGTGGTATGAAGCTGATGGATCCCTGGAAGGAAATTGCCCAAAGTGGAGTGAGAATTGAGAGGTCAAAGGCCAATTCAGGTGTGCACCGTTCTATTTAAGGCTGGTTGAGGTAAGTGTATACAATTGCTGGGGTGATCTTTCTTCAGTTCCCTTTCTGCATTCTCTTAGTTTGGGGGTAACCGTAACAGCACTGATGATTCTGTTGTTCATAAAATAACACTCAAGACAAAAGCCAGGTAGATTTCTGACAGTGCTGGGGGATGTCCCTGCAGCAACAGAACCTGCGAACGATCCTGCGGCTTTGTGGAGACTGTTCTGGGTCTCTAAGACAGCATGTCTCAGCCTGGTCAGAAGCCCACCTGCATCTGAGTTGCCACTTCGCTTAGTCAAATGTTTCTCTGGTGCCCGGCCAGATCTGCGGGAGCAGATGCCCTGAAGGAGAGTTCTGGGTCTCTGCACTGGAAAAGTGTGGCTGCTGCTTTTTCTCCATAAGACTTGAGGATTGAAAGTACGAATTCAATTTTTTAAGATTTATTTATTTGAGAGGCAGAGTTACTGACAGAGACGGAGAGATAGAGAGAAAGGTCTTCCATCTACTCCCCACATGGCCACAACGGCCAGAGCTGGGCCGATCCGAAGCCAGGAGCCAGGAGCTTCTTCCAGGTCTCCCACGTGGGTGCAGGGGCCCAAGGGCTTGGGCCATCTTCTACTGCTTTCCCAGACCATAGCAGGGAGATGGATCAGAAGTGGAGCAGCTGGGAATCGAACTGGTGCCCATAAGGGATGCTGGCACTGCAGGCGGTGGCTTTACCTGCTATGGCACACACTGGCCCCCCTCATTCACCTTGCAAAGAGAATTTCTCCGCCAAAGTCAGAGCTGACAGACTTGATTGGAACTGCTTTTGAATTTCCCAGTAGCTTGTTCAGGGTCATTTCTGATAAGCACAGAAGCAGACCTTCTGCCCAAATGGACCTCAGGAAATCAGACTCAGAGGAAAAAAGCAAAGATAAAAAAGGGACTTTGACCATTTCCTCTTATTGTAAATCATGGTAAGCAGCATTACTCTGGTGTAACAATGAGAATGACAGTAGAAAATTATGTAATCTTTGAGGGAACCGAGGGAATACATTATGATTTGCAGTGTAGCAAAGGAAAACCGAGAGAAATACTGACCTTTGGTTCTTGTCCCACAGCTCTGATCTAAAAGAGCCAATGAGGAAAACATTGCAGTGGGCATCACCCCGTGGACCGCTTTCTAAGTCCCAGAGTCCCCTTTTGGTGGCTGAAATGGAAACTCCGCAGTGTCGAATGCTTGGGCTGAATGAAGTCTGCGATCCACAGTTCTCTGCTGAGTGTCCTTGAGCCATGTAGCCAGCCTCTCTGCGCCTCGATGTCCTTCTCTGGGAAAATGGAAGTGACCTCAGCACGTGCCTTCCAGGCATTTAGAAGGACAGAATAAGATTGACACATGGAAAGCACTTAGAAAAGCGCCCACCTGCCAGTCACCTCTTAGTCACTGCTGGCCGTGGGGATGAACCTTCTTATTTTTCATTCATCGAATTTGAAATCCTGGGTAGTGTCCAGGGTGTTTCTGGGCAGACCACTTAATGGCTAGGATGCTGGGAGAATTAGCTAACAGTGGTTCTTCAGGGTTCCTTATCTGGCCACTGTTTCCTTTTGTTCAGATGAGCACACTGTGGTTGTATCCCTAAAGCATCAGAGATATTCTTC